CCACCTACTGGGAGCTCAACAAGGTGAGAGGATGACTCACCAGCATAGTCCTTGTATTGGGGTTGAGAGTGAGTAAGACACATAAGCAGTTCCATTTAGATCTCAGATTTCAGGCTAATGGGAAGAAGGTGGCCTTCCAGATACCAAAGCTCTGAACTGTTTATGGCTTAGTAAGAAGACTGCAGCCAAGAAATCAGAACACTAGGAATAGGAAGGGCACTTAAGAAAGAACTGGACAAGATCCTAACATGTGAAAATACAACTCTGAACACTAAAGTGAGAATTGTTCAAGCCATTATATTCCTCATCACCATATATGGATGTGAGAGCTGGACAGTGAAGAAAGATGATAGGAAGAAAATCAATTCATTTGAGATGTGGTACTGGAGAAAAGTGCTGAAGATACCGAGGATGGCCAAAAAGGCAAACAAATGGGTCCTAGAACAGATCAAGCCTGGACTCTCCCTGGAAGCCAGGATGACTAAACTGATTTGTCGAGGTTTGGTCACATCATGGGAAGGCATGAATCATTAGAAAAGACAATGATGCTAGGAAAGGTGGAAAGCAATAGAAAGAGAAGAAGACCACATGCCAGATGGTGAGACTTGATCAGGGCAGTCACGAGCCTGAAACTGCAAGACCTGGACAGGGCAGTCAAGGACATGGGATCTTGAAAATGTCTCATCCACAGAGTCATCATGAGTCAGAATTGACTTGAGAGCAGTTAACAACAACAAAGGTCAAAATCAGCCTCTTGGAAACAAACTGGAAGCTAGTGCAGCTGTTAGACAATTCTACACAAAGACTATATCACAGCTCCACTGCGTAACATGCTGCCTTCATTTGAGCCCTTGACTAAAGGTGTGACTTATTTACTGACACAGCACCTGTTTTAATCCAAACTGAAAACAGCTTGGAAAGCCACATGGGATCCCCATTGTGTAGCTGCCTAGCCCTTGAATGGGGTTTTTTCTTGGTTCCTGCCATTGTTGTTGTTGTTGTTGTTAAATGCCCTCAAGTCGATCTCAACCCATGGTGACCCCGTGGATGAGACATCTCCAAGACTCCCTGTCCTCCACTGCTCTGCTTAGGCCCTGTAAACTCATACCCATGTTCTCCTTAATGGAGTCCATCCATCTAGTATGTGGAGTTCCTCTCTTATTTATTTGTCTTTTTGGCTGTCCATTGGATCCTCAGCATTCTTCTCTAGCACCACATCTCAAATGAATTGATTTTCTTCCTATCATCTTTCTTAACTGTCCAGCTCTCACATCCATACATGGTAATAGGGAATACAATGGCTTGTATGATTCTAACTTTTGTGCTCAGTTGTATATCTTTGCATTTTTGGATCTTTTCTAGTTCTTTCATAGCCACCCTCCCCATTGTTAGTCTTCTTCTGATTTCCTGGCTGCAGTCCTCATTTTTATCAATGTTTGATCCCAGAAATAGAATCTTTTACAACTTCTATTTCTTCATTGTCTAGGTTGAATTTGTCAAGATCCTCCATTGTCATTATTTTTGTTTTCTTTATGTTCAGCAATAGGCCTGCCTTTGCACTTTTTTCCTTGATCTTTCTTAGCCGTTGTTCCAGGTCTGGGAGGTTTTCTGCTAGTATTATGGTGTCATCTGTATATCTTAGATTGATGATATTCCTCCCACCTATTTTCACTGCTCCTTCTTCTATGTCCAAGCCTGCTTTTCTTACAATATGTTCTGCATATAAGTTGAATAGGTAGGGTGATAAGATGCGGCCTTGTCTGACCCCTTTACCAATTGGGAACCATTCTCTTTCTCTGTGTTCTATTCTGACAGAAGCCTCTTGTTCTGAGTACAGATTCCTCATCAGGACTATCAGATGTGTTGGCACTCCCATGTCTTTAAGAGAGTTCCATAGCCTTTCATGATCTATGTAGTTGAAGGCTTTGCTATAGTCTATAAAGCACATGCTGATTTTCTTTTGAAATTCCCTGGTGCGCTCCATTAACATTATATATTTGCAATGTGATCCCTAGTGCCTCTTCCTTTCCTGAACCCTGCTTGGACCTCTGGGATTTCTCTCTCCATGTATAGTTGGAGTCTATATTGCAGAATTTTGAGCATCATTTTGCTTGTATGGGAGATTAGTGCTATGATCCTATAGTTGCTGCAGTCCTTTGTGTCTCCTTTTTTGTGGATGGGGATGTATATTGATCACTTCCAATCTGTCGCCATTGTTTTGTTTTCCATATCTGTTGATATATGTTGGTTAGCACTAGAGTTGACTCTGTCAGTGTGGATTTCAGCAGTTCAATTGGAATATCATCTGTTCCCGGTGAGTTGTTTTTCACTATTTCTCTTATTGCAGCTTCCACCTCACTTTTTAGAATTTGGGGTTCATCTTCATATGACTCTTCATCCTATGTGTCCTTCATTTTGTCATCTCTTTTATATCGGTCTTTTGTGTATTGCATCCAATGTCTTTTTATTCCTTCCTGCCATTCATACACATACTTTCATAATCAAATAGTCTTTCTCTGTTTTCTGACTGCCCACCTGTACTTCCTTTTTTAAAAAGGTCATATATTTTTTATTAAAACAATAAAACAAATACAAACTCTATTTTCTATACCTAAAAAAAAATACAATGAAAACTCAACCACCTAACAATAAATTCAGAAGAAGAAGAAACTCTAAACTAAACACTAAAGAGGGAAACAATGGCTCCCAGAATTCCTGACTATGGCACTTTAACATTAATTACCTAACTCCCTTTAATTTAGTCAAAAATTAATATGATAATACCTTGATTTGTTTTTTCCTGCGATAAGGTTCTTAATCTTCCAGTCCTACTACCAACTTAAAAGTCCTCACCTAGGACTTAATAAAAAGCATGACAACATTTCCTTTTCAACAATTCTTCTAAGGTAATATAACACTCCACAAAACTAAAACCATAACAGAACTTCCCTTATTTTCCAGATATCCAATCAATATCTTCCATTCTTTCTTAAAATCATCCAGAGTTTTCTCATGTATTAACATAGTCAACTTGCCCGACTGTACTTCCTTGGATTGGGTGCATACATGGCCGGTTACCTGAGCTCTTACATGTGATGCCTCCATCCCCTCTCATTTAATGCCCCATTTTCTAAATTTAATTCCCAGGAAAGTGGATGTAGGATTGACAGCATATGGTGCAATCTTATACAGGTCTACTCAGTAAGTCCTACTGAATTCAATAGTCCTAAGAAAGTGCCTTATAGTGCTCGCCCCAGAAGACCCCATCACTGACATCTAAAAGACAAGCAAATATTCAAAGATCAAAGATTAACAGATGTCCAGAGTGCAAGAGAGAAAAATTTAAAAATGGTGCTGACCCTTCCAGCCCTTGGTAGGTGAGCAGAAGCCTAGGAGATGCATCTCCGAGGAGTTCACATCCACCACCAACAACCTGCAAACGTGTGCAGTGAAACCAGTAGAGAAGGGAACTGCTGACCCATGAATGTATACACACAAACTCCGAATAAAAGAAAGGACAACATTGCCTTTTCCTGTTGTTGTTATTGTGTGGTGACCCAAAAGTGAACCTCTGGGCAAATTTTTTTCAGAGGGGTGTGTGCCATTGCCATCCTCTGAGGTTGAGAAAGTGTGACTTGCCCAAGGTCACCCAGTGAGTTTACATGGCCAGTTTGGAAATTGAACCCTGGTCTCCAGAGTCCAAGCCTCCAACCACTACCCCATGCTGGATCCTGCAGAACAAAAATGTAATGGCTACTGCCAAAGCGCATGTTTCCTTTCAATGACAGATATTTATTTATTTATATTTCAAGGATTTATATCCCACCTTTTTCCCAATGTGATGCTTCCAACAGTCTTACTTAGAGATCAGCCTTTACCGCCAATATATATATAAGGATGACTAGGCCTGACATATTTTATTTAAACATTCAGCTGATAATGAAAGGAAAGAGTCAATTGAACACTCAGGTTAAATATTACTGAAGTACTGTATTGCCACAGGGAAACAAAACAAGAACTCTTATCCCTTTCCCAAAAATATCCAGCAAAACCTCCCCTTCTCTCTCTCTAAATTTGGCAAGATTGCTGCAATTGCGTTTCAGAGTGTAAACAAGTTTCTGTTTCATTTCTAAGTGGCAAGAGGTTCCTCCAAAGCAAATGAGGTTTAGGGACAGAACACTGTTTCCTTTTCCTAATTTGGAAGAAAAAAAGCAAATACATTTGGGTTTAGGATGTTCTGTTCAAAACCGAAACATGAATACCAATCCATGTTTCCATTGATTCAGAAATGAAACATTTGATTGGTGCATCAGATTAAAAAGAGAAAGCATACAGTGTTCTTCACTATCAGCAAAAAACAGAACATTTCAAAGAGTTTGAGGAAACAGCGGTGACACTGGAGCCAACTCAGGAATTGTGACTTTTCTCAGAACAAAATAACCCAAAACTTTGTAGCATGTGATTGGAGTCTCCCTAGGGTCAGAGCTTGGGGGAAAACAATTACTCTTTGGACTACAACTCCCACAATCCACTGGCCTGCATGACAACTGGTTGGTGGATGCAGGGAGTTGCTAGTCCCAAACAGTAACTTTTCTGAGGTCTGCATGGGGCTTCTCCATACCAGTAGACCCTTATCTCCTTTTCACATTTATTTATTATAGACAATAAACTGATTTATTATGAATAATCAACAATTAATTACTGCCCATTTCAGAAATGAATTTCTTGGATGGCTTAAAACAGGGAAGAAAAAAAGGATCTTACTGGAGGGTGTCACTTTTGGTAAAATGATATTCCTCTGGGAACTCTATGGGGCGGCCTTTTGTGCATTGTCAAGAAAGCAAAGCCACATTTGCGATACATTCAGGTCTATGCAACAAACATTTAGAAATGAATTATTATTATTATTATTATTATTATTATTATTATTATTATTATTATTATTATTATTTTATATCCTGTCTTCCTCCTGGTAATTAGAAATAAGTACTAGCTTTAGAGCCAGCATGGTGTAGTGGCTTGACCTTTGGACTATGACTCTGGAGAACAGGGTTCGAATCCCAGTTCAGCCATTAAACCAACTGAGCCTGGGCAAGTCACACTCTCTCAGCCCCAGTGGATGGCAATGGCAAACCTCCTGTGAAGAAACCTGCCAAGAAAACTCTGTGATAGGTTCGCCTTAGGGTCTTATAGGTTTTCCTTAGGGCTTAGGGTCACCATAAGTTGGAAATGACTTGAAGGCACACAGCAGCGACAACTAGCCCTAGATTTTCAATAAAAGTACACTACCTCTAATCTTGGAGGAAACAATGATGAGTTATTGATCAATGTAAGTCCTGCTTAAAATAGCTTCTGCTAAAGCTAAAAACAGCTTCTGAGGACTCTTTATCTTTTAAGTGAACTTGGGTGGGGGGTTGCAGTCTGCCAGAAATAGTGCAAATTTGAGTCAACTTTAAGGATTAGGGTTAGGGAATCATGGGAACTGTATTTTATTGTGGCACCAGAGCTCTCTGACAGAGAAGGCTCAATGGCTCAGAAAAAAAATTCCCATGATTCCCTAGGACTAACCCTAACCCTTAAAGTGGACTCAATTTGCACTATTTCTGGCAGTCTGCAACACATCCCCTTAGCCTGGACAGGCCTTCAGACAGAAGACACCAGCAGCGATGGAGGTTTGAGGGGGGGTGACACCAGTCCAATTTTCCATCTGACTCTTGCTTGTTTTGTGCAATCATTTCCAACTGAAAGCAAGCCTATGGCAGGGTTTCCTTGGCATAATTTGTTCCCTCCGAGGCTGAAAGAGTGTGTCTTGCCACCTAGTCACATAGTGGGTTTCCATGACCTAGGGGGATTTGAACCCTGGCCTCCCAGAGACCTATATATCCAACACTCAAACCACTATACCACTTTGGCTTTCTATCTGACCCTAAGATCTGTTCATTCACAGATACACAGAGGATCAGGGTGGTGTAGTGGTCCCAGTGCTAGACTAGGATTTGAGGGGACCAGGATTCGAATCCGCGCTCAGCCATGAGGTAAACTCCCTGAGTGACTTTGAGTAAGTCACATCCTCTCAGCCTCAGGGGAAAGCAATGTCAAACTCCCTCTGAACAAAGCCAAGAAAATCCAGGTCATATGCCAAATCATAGAGTTAAAGGCACACAACAACAACAACAACAACACAGATTTGGTATAATCCCCCTCCTTCTATTCTGTATAGGCAAGCATTATGTTATTGGTAAGGCGGAAGTACTACTACATCCTACAAATCCTACATCCTTTTCAAGCTTATATAAGGTTCTGCTTCTTCTCTTTACTGTCTTTGGAAGGCGTGCTTCCCAAGCACAATAACTCAAGCGTTGTTGTTGTTGTTGTTGTGTGCCTTCTAGCTTTTTCCGACTTATGGTGATCCTATGGTGTTGCTGTTGTTGATGTTGTGTGCCTTCAATTCGTTTCCCACTTATGGCGACCCTGAACAACTCATGGGGTTTCCTTGGCAAGATTTGTTCAGAGGTTTGCCATTACCATCCCTTGAGGCTGAGAGAGTGTGACTTGCCCAAGGTGAGTTTGGGTAAAACTCGTCAGTTAGGAAATGGGAGGGGGGAGAGGAAGACACGAGGGTTGCATCTACACTGCGGAAATCGTCCGGTTTATGACCGGTTTAACCGCCCTGGCTCAATGCTATGGAATTCTGGGAATTGGGGTTTGTTGTGGCACCAGAGCGGAGCACAACAACAAAACTCCAATTTTCAGAATTCCATAGCATTGAGCTAGGGCAGTTAAACCGGTCTCAAACCGGAAGATTTCTGCAGCGTGGACGCAGCTATATGAGCCATAGTCCCGAACCATGAGTTTACAGGTGTCTGCAGGCAGACACACACACACACACACACACACACACCCAAAAGAAAGGCTCTGCTTCCCTGGATTCTTCCTTATTTTAAGATCGCGTTCCTTCTCCGTTTGAGAAAACGCTCGGAAGGCGTTCCGCGATCGTTCTAAAAATCAGCTGCGTTCCACTGAACGCCGGCGGCGTTGGGAGGAAACGCTCAGAGCTATTAGTCTGTTTCGCGTAATCCCAGAGTTTGAGGAAAAGAGGCGGACGAACTTCTGATTTTGAACGTTGGGAGAAACAATTTCTTTTTAAAGAAAGGGGAAAGAAAAGTGGGTTCGTAGTGTGATGGTTTGAGCGTTTGGCCTAGGAGAGACCAGGATTCAAATCCTGGCTCGGCCATGTCAAGCCACTGGGTGACCTTGAGCAAGTCACGCTCTCTCAGCCTCAGGGGAGGGCAATGGCAGACCCCCTCTGAAGAAACTTGCCAAGAAAACCACGTGATAGGATTCGCCTTAGGGTCGCCATAAGTCGGGAACGACTTGAAGGCACACAACAACAACAACAACAACAACAACAACAAAGAAGGTCCACTAAGTCCAACACTCGTGGAAAGATGGAGATCCTGATTCTCTGCCAGTTTTCTATTTCTGATTCGGAGCTGGCTCTCCTTCCACCCTAACTTCGTTGTTGTTGTTGTTGTGTGACTTCAGGTCTTTTCGGATATATGGCGACCCTAAGGCGAACTTATCATGGCAAGTTTCCTCAGAGCGGGTTTGCTATGGCCATCCTCTGAGGCTGAGAGAGTGTGACTCGCCCAAGGTCACCCAGTGAGTTTCCATGGCAATGTCATTTTTAAAATAAATTAAGGGGACTGTTTAATGCCCTGCAGGTATGGGACACCCACATATTTCCCTTCCACCGTTGGCAAAGAAACGGTGAAGCAAGTCCTCCTACTTTAGCCCCGTACTTTCTCCGTTTGAACTCGCGAGTTTAGGGTTTAAAACGGATAAAACTTGGCCATAGAAACCGTTTTCACCAATAAAACGCGCGTGCGTGTGATAGACAGGCAAGCAGACATAGCTGGGCTACTGGGACCATTGTTGGAAAAAGTAACTTTTTCAAACCCTAGAGGAACGTGTGTGTGTTTGTGTGTCCGCGCCTCACACTCCCCTCTTCCGACTGGAAAAGTTTGGAAAAGTTACTTTTTTTTGGAAGCACTTCGAGGCTGCCTCTGCTTTGCAGAAATAATCCAGTTTGACCGCCACTTGAACTGCCATATGGGTCAATGCTATGGAATTCTGGGAATTGTATCAGCTCCATCCAGGATCCTAGGGTTGATATGTAGTTTTGTGAGCCGCCCGAGCTCTTTGGCAGCAGCAAAGACCTTGCAGAAAGTGTAAATGGGAAAGAGCTTGTGAAACTGTCAGTCCCAGGATTCCATGGGGATGGAGCGACAGTGGTGCCAAACTGCATTATGTCTACGGTGTAGATGCACCCCACCAGCTTCGGAGAGGATTTGTTTTAATCCGGTTTCCCCCCATTCAGTCTCTGGTATCTCCCTCCCACGATCGGTCACGATTCATTGTCGCTTCCAGTCTTAAAGGGAGGAGGGCACACTTTATTTATTTATCAGCCGTGGAAACCCACTGGGTGACCTTGGGCAAGTCACACTCTCTCGGCCTCAAGGGGCAAACCTCCTCTGAACAAAACTTCCCAAGAAAACCCCATGAGAAGGTCGCCATGAATCGGAAACGAAGAAACACTATAACAACAACAACAACATCCTGTAGAATCCTGGGATTTGTAGTTCGGGGACATATTTGAGAGCGCTCTATTGCTCTTCCCCCGAACCACGGCAGAGACTCTAAGTAACCCCCCCACACCATACTACAAATCCCATTCTAGGAAACGTCGTTGGTTGTGTGGACCAGGGCTGCAGATTTCCCAGAATTCCATAGCACTGAGCCGTGCCAGTTCAAGCGAGGTCAAACCAGGTTATTTCTTCAGTGCGGATGCAGCCTTGTTTTTTTTTTTTCCCTTCTTCTTCTTCATTTATTTCTTTTTAAAAAGGGCCGGTCAGAAGCAAAATCCATTTACCTACTGAACTGTATTCTGTAGTGAGTCAAAGACGTTGGGGGCAGGTAGTTTTAATTTACCAAAAATGATTTTTTAAGTATTATTATTATTATTATTATTATTAAAAAGAAACAAACCCCAGGCTTAGAATCCAACGCACACTTGTCAAGGAGTAGAGCCGAGAAACCCAAATCCTATTGAACGCAGAGATGCTTTACTTCTGTGTAAATGCATTGGTTTAAGAAGTGTTGGACTCCAACTAGATTCCCAGTCTGGCCATGGAAACCCACTGGGTGACCTTGGGCAAGTCACACTCTCTCAGCCTCGGGAAGGCAATGACAAACCCCCTCTGAAGAAAGTTGCCAAGAAAACCCCAGGGTCGCCATAAATCGGAAACGACTTGAAGACACACAACAACAACAATAGCAACAATGTATAGGTTGGTTTGCAGATTTAGGACTGTATGTAGCCTTGCAAGAACAGATTTTTTGAAAAACAAGAAAAGTTACCCGAAACTGCTTCAAGGGCAACGGTTGGGACTAATCTCGTTTGGAACGGATTATTTGCAACTACTTTGGCCAGCTGCGACACTGAAGCTCGAAGCAAGCAAATCTCTCCTCTGTTTTGGTCTTGCAAGAAAGGTGACAAACATCCTGGGAAGGCAGGCCAGGGCTGGTTCACACTGCAGAAATAATCCACTTTAACTGCGTTGGTTCAGTGCTATGGAATTCTGGGAACTGTAGTTTGTTGGGGCACCAGAGCTTTCCGACAGAGAAGGCTGAAGATCCCACAGAGTTGCAGCTTCCAGAATTCTACAGAATTGAGCCAGGGTCGAACCGGATTAAAGCGGTGTCAAACCGGATTATTTTTCCAGTGTGGATGCAGCCTCAGACTTTCTAGAAATCTCTCGGAGGCCGAAAGGGGAAGGAAGGGAGTACATTTGTCAAGTCCACGGATCCCGTCTCCCTGTTTCCCTAGTCCAATCTGGCCCAGGGTGACCAGGTGTCCTCTTTTTTCCGGACATATCCTCCATTTCCTCCTTCTGTCCAGGAGACATTCCAAAATGCCTTCCATTTGCAGCATGGCTACGAAGCACGAACTGACATTTATATTCGTGTTTCGAGCTTTTTAATTTGCTCACGTCCTCCATTTTGCCTCGAA